ACACTAAAAGCGTCCGACATCCCCCTTCACCCTCACCTTTGTCTTTGCCCCTTCATACAGCTGCATCACAGCTTTAACAAGTCTCTCATTCACTCCTTTCTTCCTCAACGCCCATTCAATGACCTTCCTCGGTACTCGATCAAAAGCCTTTTCTAGATCCACAAAACACATGTACAATCTTCGTTTCTTCTTTCTATAATTCTCCTGCAACATTCTCACCATGAACAACGCATCCACCGTTCCCCTACCAGGCATAAACCCACACTGCATTTCATTAACTGTCACCATACTTCTCAACCTCCTCTCAAGCACCCTCTCCACTACCTTCATTCCGTGCTCTAGTAATTTCACACCCCTGTATGACCCACAATCTCTCACATCTCCTTTGCCCTTATACAACGGCACCAACACACTATGTCGCCAATCCTCAGGTATACCTTCATCATCAAACATACTGTTAGCAATTCTCATCATAACTTCAATTCCTATCACCCCACTCGCTTTAATATGTTCTGCCGCCACTTCCGAAACCCCTGTCGCCTTACCTAGTTTCATTTCTCTAACTGCTTTCTCTACTTCCTCCATCGTCACCTTCTCTATAGGTCCGTGTGTGACCGCGGATTCCACATCTCCATCCCACTCATTCTCTTCATTCATCAACCTTTCCATATGAGCTTTCCACACCTGAGCTTTTTCCACACCCTAACTCTAACCCAAACACATCCATTCCCTATAACATCTTTCCTATCCCTCATTGACTGCTTTGCTACTTTGAACATTTTCCTCGAACTCACATCAAATTCCATTTCCTTCATTAACCTATCTGATGCTTTCGTCATTGCAGTTGCCACTGCCTGTTTTGCAACCTTCTTAGCCTTCCTATACTCAGACTCCGCTTCCTCCGTCATGTCCCTTCTCCATACCCTAAACCTCTCCTTCTTGACTTCCAAAACCCTTCTTATATCTTCATCCCACCACCACGTCTCACCATGCCTACACTTTCCTTTCGTCCATCCACATACTTTATCTGCCGTAGCCAACACACAGTCCCTGTATCTCTCCCAAACATCTCCATCCTTACCACTCTCCCAATTTTCAGCCACCTTCACTTCAAATGCCTTCCTCACCTCTGCATCCTGCAACTTCCATGTCTTTCTCTTTGCCACAAACTTATCCTTCTTCCTTCTCCCCATTTCTTTTGATGTCACATCCATCACAACCATACTATGCTGCAACATACCAGGTATTTTTTCCGTCATCATAAGTATTATTATTTGGCTAGTTTTTACACAGGACGCCCTTCCTTACGCAACCACAGTTATAAGCGGTGGGCCTAGCCTTTGATGATCCAACATCACTCACAAGGCAGTGAGGGTCAGTTTAATGTCATAACCAGGACATACATTTTCTAACAAGTTCAAAACCCCACAAAAAATTTCTGACTACTCCATTGGGTTTAACTAAAGAATACTTAACTAATGAGAGGCTATAAATTTATTTCAAAGTTAATTCAAACTCCATGTTGAAATTGGTTCGTGTTCCTTAAAAACCCAATTGCTTTTTGTATAGTTGAAAACTCGATTAACCCTTTAAATATAACATTGAATATTGATTTAGATTCCAGCCGTTCTTGTTGGTAACAAAAGAGACGTCCCTCCTCATCTCAGAGAAGTTCACTCACATGTTGCTATGTCTTTTGCTAAATTACATGAAATGGAATTTTTTGAAACCTCACCGAAAGATGAAGCAAGGATAAATAGCCATGAATTACATATTCAAAGCAATAGCTTGAACTGTGACGAAAGTGATGACTATCAAACTATTGACTCAGTTTTTGTAACTCTGATTTGCAAATTATTACTTTTGCGAACTGGTCAGACACCGGTGCCCGAGGAACCTGTTAAGCTTAATTTAATAGAAATGAAGCCAGTTATGATCAAAGGAGGAAATGAGTGCGTTTGTTGAAAAAGAACATTTTTTGTCACATTTGTCATTATTTTATGTCATTATCCTAAGTCATTATCAAATATCTGTCGTGTCTGTACAGTTTTTAAATTTTCTACGAGCCTGTTTGGTGTAAAATAAATGTATCGTATATATAGAGTAGGTTTTTTGTTTAATCGTAAAGTATTCATATATTCTTAATTTTTAATATTCTTATATTTTCTTAAGAAATTTTGATTGATTCATTCTTACGAAGCACCGATTTTTTTCAAGCTAACGAAAGTTTTGTAAATATCAATTATTCAGTGCGTCTATTCATACTTTTATATCAAATATATCATTATTCTATCCAGACACATACCTTCCACTTCCACTTCAAGTAATTTCATGCCTGTACTTTTCAGCGCTCTTCTGCTTTTTAGTAGTTTAATCCAATTCTTTTGGTCAGATTTAAAACAATATCCCAAAATAAAATTCGGTTTTTATTCTTTCCAGGTTCTTTTAGTTTTTAAATTTCCGTTTTTCGACCTCAATGTCAACATTCATAATTTTTTCATTTATTCCTCATAACTCTACACATCTAAATAAAATCAAATGAGCCTTTGGGCCGCGCGGTTGCTTGCATTTAAATTTTCCATTCCCGTCCTTCAAGCACGATTCCAGTTAGTGATTCTATATTAAAAAAAATTTTCATAACCGAAAATTTTGTTTCATCAATTTCTATGGGAATTTTGCAGAAACCAAGTCCACCTCTATATTTCATAATTCTTGTATGAGCACTGGACTGAACACTCGACCAAGGACACAGGCCTCTAAACGAACACACACACATATATATATACAGTACAGCCTATGCCCTATAGCACTGATATGCGTAACATCAACCAAATTTGAGATTAGAAAATGGCGAGCGAATAAACGAACTCATAATCCTTTCAAGGCAGGAAATTATTCTAAAAACACCTGCTTTATTAAAAATATAAAATCTACATAAAATAAATTTCACAAATGGTGTTGTGTACTCATTGTCACAAAAGTTACAATTTTATGGCCAATTGAAACAAATGAATAAAAGATTTCAATTTTCAACACGTAACAAGAGAGTAAAATCTTTATGATTTGCTAAACAATCTAAGAAGTATTTTTTATAAAAATATCAAGACCGCTAGTCTCTCGATACTTTGCATGGTAATAAATGGTGCAGAATAATATCAATAATGAAAGCTTGTAAAAACATTCATGAAAAAATTAAGCTTAGTTCAATCGGTTACAAATAAGCTTGACAATTATAAATATCTAATTTGATTTTAATACAAAACCGATTATGCTCATTTCAATTTTCATTGGACAGAAGATATTGATTTGTTCGGGATGTCAATTTTCATGGGAACTAGTTTCTTTCCACCCTGGTGCTTCATTTTCTCTTCCAATTTTTTATTGGCTTTTGAGTGTTTTTTGTCATGGGACTTATCTTCTTTGGATCGTTTTATGCTTTTATCAACTTTGGCTTTACTTTCTTTGGCATCTTTTTTCACATTTTCTTTGTTCACTTTTTTGTTCTTTTTGGATTTATCTTTTAAAGTAAAAAAAAACAATCATTCCAATTGATTGGGAAGGAATTAAACAAGATCTGAATAATTAAAAATGAAATTTATGTAATTGTAATCAGTTAGTTACTGCACTATAGTTTTGTATGTTCTCATTTTTAGTAAGAATTAATGAAAAGTTAATAAAATAAACCCTTCCGTTTGTTTGGCATAATGTATTCAAACTTACAACGTTTTTAGTTTTACAAAGTTTACAAATTCACAGCAAATATAAAATACTTAAATGATCAGTAAATGTTTAATAGTTAAGAGTTCAGTACACCATCCCAGTGAAATACAATTAAGTGCTAGGATGGATATTTACCATTTGGGACAAGTCATCAGTGATGAAATTAAAAAAACCCTCGGAAAGATTTGTATATCAGTGAAACTCACTCCTGCACAAACGTTCTCACATATCTTTTAGCCGTGATTAATTTAGAATTTCATTTCATTTGAAATAAAATCAACTCAGTATATTAACATAAAAACAATAGAGTAACCTTTGGCTTTTGCAACTTTGCATTTTTTATTGATAGAGATTGATTGCTGACAAGCAGGTCCACCACTCAGTAAATTCTTGACAGCTGGAATTGTATTTGTTGTTGGATTACACTGCGAATCCGCTGAAATTATCGCATTTCCATATTTGCATTTTTTGGACGGAGGTTTCGCTAAAAATAATTTTGAATAAATATAAATATGAACATTATTTTCAAAACTTGTCACCTAACACAAAATGCTAGCTGATGAGAATATTGAGCAGTAATGATTTGACTTATAATTCTAACTGAGATAACTATTCAAGGATTGGACCTGCTATCATATGTTTGCACATTTTTGATGTATCTCACTTCTAATTTTGGACAGAGATAGAAATTTTCTCAAACATTTCCATACCACTTTTCATAATCTATAACAGCTAAATAATATTAACAATACTTGAGGACCCAAAGCTGATAAAAAGATGTAAAAAAGATACAATTGCATTGAACAACAAATTGCATTATAGATTTGTATCCTTTAATAATTTAATTATCTTGGTTTTTAAGTGTTCAGCAAGCTTTACTAATTTTAAATATCTTTTGACCAATTATTTTACATTTTTTTCAGTTTGTTAGTAGGATAATTTATGTATAAGGAGATTAGGCTAAAATGACGAATGTCAATAAAACAAAAAAATTAACTAACGACATTTAATCTTGCAAGAAACTTCCTTGGTCAGTTTTTTGCAAGTTCCATTTCGATGTGCCACCTGCTTACCTACTCCGCATGAAGCTGTCTTATTAGTGAGCTGACACGCTTCATACATCCATTCTCCACATTCTTTCTCCTTCTTAGTATTTTTCTTTGCGTCTTTTCATAATTCAAATAAACGTTTTTGTACTGAATGAAAAAGAAATCTTTAAAATAGCAATAAAACCATCTGCATCATGTGTTACATTTTTAGACAGTTCTCAATTAGTAGAATCTCAACACCTGACAATAGCTCGAGAACTTAAGAACTTTATATGGTGACACTATATAAAGTCATGCAGTAATTAGGTTAAGAAATTTTTAACTCAAGATTATAAACTTCCATCATAAACTTCCATTAATCAACAACCAAAAAAATTTAGCTTTTCATTAAAGCAGAAACATATTTTTTCAAACTGAACAATTAATTATGAAAGCAAACCTTTTTTAGCCTCGATTGTCAAAACAATGGCCAGGACAATCAAAATCAAACACAAAATTTTTTGCAACACTGTCATGTTCCTGTTCATTTCATTTGAATTTTACAATTTTAATTTCAATTAAACCTGAAAAAAATCTCAGTATAAATTAAAACAATTTATATTTTGTAATTTATATTTTTGGCTTAAGAACTTTATAGGAAATAAACATCAAAGGCAGAAGCAATGATCCCACATAATCCAGTTTATAAACATCCCTACTGTTACTTTATTTTCAACAATTATATAGGGTACTGTTAACATGCCTAAAATTAGGAAGCTATCAATGCCATTGTATAGAACAAAATTGATCAACTGTTATTTAGCTAAGGTTCAATAAATACCATTAAACAAGAACTTTTATTTGTATAACAAAATAAACATAATATGTACAATGAATCTTTTACTTGCAATTTTGCAAGTAGTAATAGATTCTGCACCTGTCAGAGTTTGATTTTTAAAGATTTAAACATTTTTAAAAAATAGCAACTAATAAGCTTTTTCACCCCAAAGATAAATTTTTAAGTATGTTCTAAAACGTTTGTTAGATAATAACACCATTCTGTACTTTAGGATGATGGAAACTATATTTATTTATGAATTTTATTATATTTTTTATAAACTTTATTTGAAACAGAAATGAGTGTCAATCATTTGAGTCAAACAGAAGGGCAGTCAAGAAAAAATTCAAATGAAAATTTGATATAAGTCCCAACCCAAAAGCTATTATACAATCCAAATGCAAAGTGCCATATCACTCAAATAAAATACTTAATCATAACTTTTAAAAGTTGCATAGCCGTTACTCTGCTTTTTACTACAATAAAATGACATTTGTTTCATATTATATTCGATACCTTCTCACTTAAACTTAAAACTAACTAAAATATATTAATAACTAAATAAACTAATTAAATAGTAATTAATTAATAATAAATTAATTTGTAAACTAAAATCCATAAAATCATGTGTCAAAAATCTTTCTGATCTTGGTATGATGATCACATCACAATTAAATCCAAAATGTTTATCAAATTTAATTAACCTTTTCGCAATTATTTAACAATATTAATTTTTAATTTAAATATTTATTATAACATAAACCACACACAGGCAACTATCATTATTATATGATATAATTATATATATAATATTATTATATTATATATAATTATATTATATATTTATTTATTTTATTTATTTATTTAACAACTGACCAGAGGACATCAAGATGTCTCTTACCCAGTCAGAAAAAAAAAATGAAATAAATAATTATATCCTATAATTTATTATTATTTGATTATGATTTTAGGTTCTTAACTAACAGGTAAAACGTAAAATCTAAATAAAATAAAACTGAAAATTATAAATTCACTGACTCTGCTGTCTCTCTAGTCTAGTCTCTAGTGTCTAGTCTAATCTCTAATGTAATTTGAAAAAAAAACAAGGAAAGTATTTAAAAATTTATGAAAAGAAACTGCTGTTTACTTTTTATATACGACTTAGGAAGAAACTTTAAAAAACGTTACTGCGTATCACGTAACACTCAGTCCGGAAATCACCACTAACAAAGCTAACCTGAACAAACCAGCTCGGTCGGAAATTATTTCTATATCGGGAGATAATAAAATAAAAGCGAACCAAAACAAAGATATTTACTTTCGATCACTTTTTAGACCAAGCCAAGATGGAGCACTATATATATATATATATATATATATTTATTTATTTATATATATATATATATATTGGGTTGAGACTATCTGATATGCAGTTGTTCAAAATATCACAACGTTGCTCGCGTTGTTCAATATGCAATTCTTAAATCAAGAATTTTTCCCAGTGGAGTGGTTTCATATCATGCTTTATCAAGGTAGATAAATCTGGAGTTCAAAAATAATGTAAAATCATCAAAAAACAAGTTAGATCGGGAAAAATTTAGATTAAAAGACATAGGTCGATGCTGTTCTGAATTCTTCAATATATAAGTGACATGCATATAGATATATATATACTATATATATATATATATATATATATATACTATATATATATATATTATATAAGTAATAGTAAATAGTTGACAAATAGAAAAAGCTTGACACTTTTGTTAAAGTTAAAATATTTCATTAAAAAAACTGTACCACTTCAACAAGTCTCTGGTAGAAATGTCCACTCGGCTCTTTTGTCTGACAATGAGTGTATGAAAGCAAAACGGCGGTATAGGAAACCAGAAAGGCTCAACATAAAAAGTTTATAAAGTTTTGATCGAGAGGCTTGGATTGAAATTTTCTCCTATAAACGGTTTTATACTGAAACATTCTCATTAAAACTATAGAGATATACGAATAATTTGTGGGCTGTTGTGAACAAGGCATTGTGCAAAAAATCAAAATGTGATTCAATTCCTACCGACAGTAAATTTATTGCTTGTCAACTTAAAAAATTTTTGTTAAAAAAATTGAGAAGATAAAACAAACGACAGACGTTGTAGATAAGCTCTTGGTAAACACAACGAATATTTACTTTTATCATTTCCAACTTATACTGAGATCTGAGATGGAGTTCTGGAAAATTATAATAGACTCACTGACAAAATATACCACTCTAGGCATGATTCCTACACAATCTAAAAAATATTTAGATCTGTTCATCAGTTTTCAGACTAAAAATTAGTTTAAAATTTGAAAGACGTTTGAAAGTTCAGTTTGGGTGTTATCCTTAATCAGATGCTTAAGGACTTCGATTAGTTATTTTTCGTTTAAATGCTAAAATTAAATGCTTGTTCTCAAAACTTTTTTAAAAAGCGTTCAAAAACTGCAATTAATAGATATTTTTATATTGCGTTAACTATATTCATACAACTGCAATAGCTAAAACAATAAATAAAATTGTATTTAAAATGTGAGAAATGAGAAGATACAAAAATATAAATCATGTTTGACCGAACCTAACACAAATATATTTTTCAAAAATTACCAAAAAATTAACGTCAAATCTCTTCATCTGATACTTGAATGTCGCAGGGCGGCTTCCAACCGTTGAACATTCTGTCTAATTCCTGGGCCACAGCACATGTTAATCGGTCATTATACCGAGAAGCAACAATCTGAAAACCCACCGGAACTTTTTCCTTTTAGAAAATCCC